GCCCATCATGACAACGAAACTATAACGATTACAACATTGACGACAACTTGTACAACGACCACAACAACAATTAGTACAACAGCAATATCATCAACACAAGGGAAATGTTTTCGTATTACAAAAGACTGTGCCATCAATCGCAAGCAACTTAAGACTGAAGCTTTGGCATCTTCCATTATGGGAGCCATAGGCAAATGCCCTAGTAAGGATAGCAGCAAATCGACAAATAATTCATCAAGTGAACTTAACAATGCGAATGCTGCCCATAATAGCACCTGTGATCATTATGATATTAAGGAATTTTTCAAACTCGACGATACTGGTAATATATTGATTAACATCAGTCACATTGAGGAGTGCAAGGGATTCGGATTTGCAGTTGCACAGAACAAACGTTTATATCGTCACTTTGCCAACAAATGCAAATGCATGGAAGATAAGAATTGCAATAGCAAAGGTTGCGGCTTAGTATTTAAAGGTCTCTTTCGACTTTTGTGGGAATTAGTAATCGGTAAGTTAAAATTATTTAGTGCAAAAAAAAAAAAACAAAAATACAAGAGTACAAAGAGGCGCTTGAAATGTGTTTTTATGTTAAAAAATGTTAATGTGACGCATACGACATTTTGCTTTATCAACAAAAATAGTGCAGGTGAATAATATGTTTTGTGTTATTAAAGGCAAATCAAATCAAAACTGCGGGGGGAATGTTGAATATAATGTACATGTTTTTTTTTTATTTAATTTAAATGATTCGTAATACGTGAAAAATAAATTAAAGTGACCATTCGACATGTGACTGGTTGTCCATAACCCTAACCCTAAGTGACTAAGACAAATGTTATAGTTTTAGAAAGACCTTAATGAAGAACAGAATACTTCTTTTTTTTGTCTCTCCAAAATTTGTATATGACTGTCTGACCTAAGTGACTAAGACAAATGTTATAGTTTCAGAAAGAACTGAATGAACTTCCTTATATCACTGAACAGAATGCTTCTTCTTTTGTCTCTCCAAAATTTATATATGACTGTCTGCGATTAGACAGTACTTTTTTACATTTGACAAATGAGATGCGTAAGAAATTAGATATACTAGGTAAATAGACTATTGAGTTAGGTCGATCCGTCATAATCTTTTGAGGTGCTTTACCTTATTAGCTCCTGTTGGTGGAGTCTATATACATATATTGTTATTTGAGTGAGTTTTTACTTGTTCGTAATGTTTGCTGCCCATGTCCAATATAACTTCTTCAATATTTTATGTCTCTGTAACTGCTTATGGATATGAGCAGAATACTAATAACGTAAAATATAAATCTTGGATCTTATGCACTTATTTTGTTTATTCTTTTTTTTATTGTTTTGTTTGAAAAAATAATGTCAAATGTCATAATTTCAGAAAAAACTTAATGAAGTGTCTTTCAGAGCAGAATATTAATACCATAGAATATAAATCTTAGATTCTATGGACTTGTACTCTTTAATTTATTGCAAAAATGATAAGATTTTATGCTGTTTTGTTGAAAATATCAAACTACTTCGTGGGTTTTTTGAACCCACGACAAATGATATTTTTAAAGATCTAAGTTTAGTTATTCAGTATTTAATTTTAACTCTACCAAAATTGGATTGGATAATAGATTGGTTGAATTGTGTGAAGACATTTTTATAATAAATATAATTTTTAAAAACAACCCAAACTGATTGTAAGAGAAAGAGATACATGTTGTCAGTAAAGAATCAAATATCCATATCTGTGCAAATAGACATTTCTTAAATAATGGGTATATTATTAAAGAAATATTGTTTTATATTTATATATAGAAGTATTATATATATGTATATGTATATATATATATATATAGATGTATATATATATAGATGAATAGAAGAAATATTTCTTATATTTAATTATTAGCAAATCATTTGTTAGATTGCAAGTACCCAGGGTTAAACTTGTACCCTGTCTAATTTGAAGCTCAAAGTTAGTGTTAATAACACAACTGATTCAAACCCATACTTGACTTCTTTTGTTCTAACGTAGAGTTTTGAAAATTTGAGGTAAAAGTTCAGTAATAAAATTATAAACCAGCTATAAAATTAATTAATTAATTATAGTTATTTCTCATTGTTTAATATCAGTATTATTCTTTTTTTTTTCAATAAAATTTTTAAAGTGTAATAGGGAAGCATTATCGGTACGCCTATAAATATGCAATTATTTTTGTACCAACTTATTATGTTTACTTATATATTATTTTATCTTATCAGCGTATAAAATTGTTTAATAATACAAAAATCACCATAAAACTAGTTAGTAGCTTTTCATGGCGCTATCAGTAAATGATACAACTTTAAGTAAAATAAAATTTAACAAAAATTTACTTACGAAATTATTATATTCTTTTCTTCTATTGCAGGTCATCCACGTAATAAAATCAATCCATACGGCAGCGGACCCGGCGATTCGGTGCGCTCCTACACACTGCAACTTGCACACGATCAAAGCTCGACCTTTGCACGAAACATTGAAAATTTCATATCATGCACTAAAGAATCTCGTGAAGCTGCACCACAAGTGGTGATGCGTAATATGCGTCAATTTATGAATGGCATGAAAAACTATTTGGTCAAACATGGTGAAGGTAAATTTCATCAAGAAGTGGAAACAGCACGCTCACGTCTTAAATCAGATGAATTTCTCAATCTGGATGCCATACTTGAGACTGTGATGCATCAATTAGTGGTGTTGCCATTGCGTGAACATCTCTACGGCATGTTTGTCGATTACTACACACGATCCGAAGATATACAATTACTGGCACAAAATGTCAAATATGCCTGTGGACGTTGTGCCACTGATTTCGGCATACGCTCCTCTGTTGCACCACCCTCATCAACTTCACTGCAAATCATATCGAGTTTGTTGTTACGCTTGCAGGAAGCTGAATTGCCATTAGATAAATTGGATCTGTTTTTATGTGTGATATCAACGATATTCGATGCAACAGGTTGTCCACGTGGTCAGCAATTGGGTGCGGATGATTTCTTGCCAGTTTTGGTATATGTTGTGGCTAAATGTGGTTTTGTGGGCGCTGAGATTGAGGCTGAATTCATGTGGGGTCTATTACAGCCAACATTACTGAATGGCGAACCGGGCTATTACTTAACAGCACTGTGCAGTGCAGTACATGTACTGAAGAGTTTTATGGCATCGGAAAATGAAAGCGGCTCTGGATCATTAGATGTGAGTACCATTAAGCAAGGCTTTGTAAAGCAAATGGTTAAACGCTATAATGAGAATGCGTAAAGTATTAAAGTAGAATATTAGAATTAATGTGCATGTTTATATAATAATATAATATTAATTGTTTACTAATAATAATTTTTTTCTTTTATTTTATTAATGTGAAATAAGTTTATTTTAATTTCTTGAAATATTTGAATGTATAAGTAGATAAGTAGATACTGTAGTGAGAGTATTATATGTACTGTTTTTTATATATTTTTTGTCGCTTTAAAATGTTATATTATTTATAAATATTTCTTCCGTTTTTTAAAGAAATTTTTGTAAAGGAATTGTAAAGAAATGAGTAGATGAATTTACTATATCAGCTCCTTATAATTATTTTTAATAGCTCAAGTCATTGAGATTAACTACCTCCATAAGACAGAGAATGTAAAATTTCGATTCTAATCAATCTAACAATTTGAAATACTCCCCAAATAAGTGTAATACGCATTACTGAAAGAATTCAATATTAATACATAATCTCTCGGAATTTACGGAAAGTAGGAAAGATGTTCGATTAAATATACCCCAAAAAAGCAAGGTATTAGCTATCAAAATTTATCAAATATCGATTAAAATGATAAAACATGTGTTGAAAAGAAGCTATATAACAAAACTTCAAGTTTGAACATACACGTCAAGTACTTCTTTGCTTCAGTTGACTAATGACACTGACTCAAAGCTTCAAATTAGGTAGGGTACGGGATCAACTCTTGATACTTGCAGTTTAATGTTTACGATTAATAATTATAATGCAAGAAATATTTCAATGATAACCAATAGCTCCACAATAGTTTTCTCGATTCCATTGCTAAGGTGCAGCAGTTTAAAGAACAGCTATTGTGTTTTGTGTGTAGATATCTCATTTTGCGCCATAATCTTAATTTTGTGGTTTTACGCACCGATAATCTTCCCACCGAGTTTGGGTGCTCTTTCGCAAAACCTTCCTCAACTCAATGCTCACTATTTTGATGAGTCATTTTATTCTTTTTCCAACAAACCGATCAACCTAGTCTACCTTATGTCTGTATAGCACTTATATGCTTTGATGAGAAAGCTCTTTATATATCAAACATTCCGGTCAACCTACAGTACACATATTTTGTGTCTAAATTTAAAAAAATGACTCCTTAATGCTACTTACACAAATCTGAAAACACTACTATTAACAAATTCAACCAAAACCAATAGATAAATCTTATGTAAATATAATTTCTAATATACAGTATATATATATTTCTATCTAAAATATGCATGAAGTTTACTATAGGTTTATTCATTTTTGCTTAAATTACAGTTTTATACAATAATAATTTTTTTTCTTTATTTTTTCAGTGGCGTTCTTCTTCTTTGCCCGCCTGTTCTTCTGTACTGCGTGTCATCATTCCGGATGAATGCAATGGCTCTCTACAAACTCGCACACTGCCGGTACGTCCGCATACAACAACCCGTGAAGTCTGTCGCATAATTGCACACAAGGCACGGATTACAAATCCTCAAGACTATGCGCTCTTCAAGTTGGTCAACGGTGAAGAGACCTTGCTCAGTGATATTGAATGTCCACAGGATATACGTTTAGCTGCCAAAGGCAAACACTGTATGTTGGCCTACAAGCGCATCGATGCTAAAATCGCTTGGCCCACAGCGACACAGTAAAGCTAAAGCTGATTCATTTATATTATAATTATAATTAAAATTAAAAAATAATAATTATTAAATAAGAAATATGTATTTTTTAGCATATAAGCAAAACTCAATCATGACTCGAAGTTTTACTGAATTTTGAAATGAATATTTAATATTACTTTAATATATACATACATATATCATTTTTGCTCATTAACATTAATCCACATTAATTTTTAATAACATTAAATTTATATTTAAAATGCATTAAATGTATACTAAACAGTATTGCAATAAGTTTATAACAAAAAGAAAAAAAAACACACAAATAATTATAAACAAAAAATGATTATTAATAAAAATAAATATTTGAAAGAAAAGAACATTTAATAGTACTACAAAACGCACTGCAATTGTGTTTAATAATTTTTAATTAATTATTTTAAAAACTAATTGAATAATGTTTTTTTAATTATTTTTATTGTAAACTTGTGAAAATTATAAAAAATTGCGTTTACAAATCAACGATGGAGCCCAATTGAATATTTTGTAATATATAAATAAACCTTAAATTTTCTATTATATATATATGTATTAGTTATTTATTAATTATTAGTTTTTAAATTTAAGATTTGTAAAAATTAAAATAATAAATTCTAATTATAAACATTTCAAAAAAAAAATTACTCACTCTTATATACTTTACTTACTGCTAAAACGTGCAATAACACATTTAATTGAATAAATTGAATTAATTAGTAATTTGCAAAGGTCAATAATTATTTCGTTAAATAATTACAAAATATTTTTCAAAATTTTTTGAATATAAAAAAAAACAATTAAAATATTTTATTAAAGAAATTTTTTCTTAAACTGTTTTTATTACTGCAAAAAAAAATAAAATTAATATGACTTCGCAGGAGCTAGAGTGCCAATAGGATTACAGATGCATTTTTTCAATTATTTTTTTTTCAAATTTATATTCATTTGCTAAATTCAAAAAATTTTTCTATGCTATCTTCACACTTATAGTAATTGCAAAACTACAATAATATATTTTAAAAATAATTTTGAATTGATAAATATTTATAACATTTACATATATTGATAAACTAAACTTTGTATTTCATTTATGTTAATAATCACATTTTTAAATCATCATATGTATACATTATTTATCAGAATCAATTATATTAAGTATATTCATTGTATAATCAAATTCATATTTACTCTTTGAATAAACGAAAAAGGATTTTATTGTATGTAATTAATATGTTTATGCTAATCAACATAAGTATAGTTATATATTAAAATTATTTAACGAAACCTATATAAATCATAATTTCAATAAAAACAAAAATTTATAACCAAAAATATAAAGTCTATTTTTTTAAAAAGATTTATTTAAAGTCAAAAGATTTATTTAATATTTAAAAAAAAGTATTGACTAAAAATATGCAACATTAATTTTGTAGAAATATAGACTGTATACTTTTAGGCTTCAACGTCATACTGTTGGCGTTTTCAATTGGTAATTCAATGTAGACTTAGTTTTAATCTCGATCTGTCAAAGTTTGTTGCCCAATCGAACGTTTTTAGAGTTATCTAGCATTTTTGTAGGCGTTTATGGGCATATAGCGCGATGCAGACTATCATTCTTTAATGTCATTCAAGTTGCGCTCTCTCTTGCTCAAATTTATTCTAGGGATCGAACTTGAACATGCTCACATTTAAGATGTAACATTCAAGCAAAATTTTTAAAGAACAAGGGTGTTTACGAACGCTGTGTGTTCCGCACACTGTAAGTGCGTTAGTGCAACAACGCTAAAATATGTTCTTGAATGACGAATGAAAGTTTTTAGATGACAGACTATTATTCACAACATGTTGTCGAGAAGCTGAATGATGTGTTCACAAAGCATGCCAACATGTTGGTTGTGTGTCTTTCAAAGGTGCAGACTTACATTAAAGATTATTCCATACTCATTGCTATCATTCTTAGATTTTGTCCCTTGAATGACACTCAAAAATGATAGTCTGCACCGCGCTTAAAATATACAAACAGCTGTCTATTTCAGGCTAATCTTTCTCAAAATCTTGAATAAATTTTGGTAAGCATGCCAACATGTTGGTTGCATGTCTTTCAAAGGTGCAGGCTACCATCAAAGACTATTCTATACTCATTACTATCATTCTTAGATTTTGTCCCTTTAATGACACTCAAAAATGATAGTCTGCACCGGGATTAAAATATACAAACAGCTGTTCATTTCAGGCTAATCTTTCCGAAAATAACTGAAGTGTTAGAAATTAATCTTGAGTTTCTAACATTTCGCTTGTACTAAAAATTAATCTGGACTAAAAAAGTTACCTCAAATTTACCAATCGAAAACGACATGTGATAGAAGTATTATTATATATCGTTATATTCCTCTTTTCTCCACATTGAGCTCTGCTAAATTTATGCAATATAGGTACTTATGACATCAACCAATATATTTAAATAATTATATATGTTGTACATTGTGTGAAATTGTGCATATGTCAATACAAGTTTAAGGTTTACCATTTTGAAATCTAAATCGTTTATGAGAATTTTATTCATTGGAGAGGTTAACTTTTCACTTAGTGAATATTTATCAAACAATATGTTCACATTAAAAGAAATGAACGTTCAAAAGTAACTGTGAAAAGAGTATTGTATTCGAAAAATGTATTCAAAGGTGTAGCATTCAAAACATAAATAATTAATTTAAAAAAATATAAAAAATTCGGAAATTATTCCGCCATGCATGAACACTACACATTCTTTTAATGAATTTTTTGTGAGATATTTTATAACAATTGTTGACCAACAACTTAGGCATAATCATTTTGAAAATATAATATATATAATCAACATTATAAAACTAGAAAAGTCTGACTGAGATTGAAGTGTTAGGAACTGAGTTGGATTGACAATTAATTAAAAGTAAGTGCAATAATAAGAATAAAGCGAATAAAACAGTTCATCAAAATATTCTTGACATTATTGCATATTAATAATTTTTTTTTTAAATTCATCAATTTGAATATATAGTCAACATAATTTTGAAGCTGCAAAATAGTGTATTTGATTTGACGGTAAACCGACCAATTAAGAAGTCACACTATTTACTCTCTGGCAGCCATTAAAGCACTTCAATCTTTAAGGTTTTAATCAAAACTAATAAATGAATGCGGTACAGAAACAGGCGAGCTAAATCTTATTACGTTCATCATCCGTTACATGGATTTGCGGTCATAAATAAATAATAAATAATGAATAAATAAGCAGACAGTCTACCTCACCTTGGCGCTGCTATGAACGTCTTCTTAGAGGTACCGGTGATTATTCCGTTGATCCCGTTAAAAGACGCACCTCTTTTTGAATTATTTATTCTAGTTGTATAAGAGATAACATATTGGAGTTTGCGACATTTAGTTTTGGTTATCTGTAAAACAACATATTCTGTAATATAACTTTCTTCTTGAATTGGGTAAGACATAAATGATTTTCTATTCTTCTATTTTTATTCCATTTTTGCTAAGTATTTGTATTCTTGTCATGCAATCAAAAGGATCAAATTGATACAATAAATAACTATCAGGAAAGCAGTGATTTTAAACAAAATAATGATTAACGAACTGAAATCCAGCATAGGATATGTGAAGTCCAGCGCTATTATAGCAGAACGTAACTAGATAAAAATACCACCCTTATCTTATTTGATATTTGACAAGATTTATACTAAATTTGAATATTATATTGCAGCAAATTATACAAATAAAAAACAAGACTTCAAGATGATCCAAGAAAAAACCAAAAAAGGTTGTACTGGACGGTACACCAACCGCGTCCACTTTTAACACTGTTACCTCCCCAAAGAGTCTGTAACTATTCTGAGATTTGATAACGCGGTGTTGGTAAGTCTGTCAGTTTTCGCAAAAAATTTCAGGGCTCTATCCTTTATGAATTTTTTGATGGGATCAATGTTGAGGTCCCT